GAGAGAGAGAGAGAGAGAGAGAGAGAGAGAGAGAGAGAGAGAGAGAGAGAGAGAGAGTGGGAGAGAGAGAGAGAAAGAGAGAGAGATCGAGAGAGAGAGACACATTTGGGGAGAGTGAGAGAGAGAGAGACATGGAGGGAAGGCGGCCGGGAGAGAGAGAGTGAGAGAGAGAGAGGACAAGAGCGAGAGGGCGAGAGATAGAAGGAGAGAGAGAGGCGCCGCCACGAGGCCGACGTCAGCAGGCGTTTTGTTGTTGCAGATTGCCGAGCTGGAGCAGGCACAGGAGCTGTTGCTGGAGGCGCAGGAGGAGCTGTCGACGGACCGGCTGCAGCGTCTCGAGGAGGAGAATAAGGTGCGTGCCGATCACGTTGTCGTCTGCCGGCTGCCGTGGAGTTTGCCGCGAGATTTTTGCGCGATTTTGTGCATGTTCGCCCCGCTGGTTTTCCAGCGTGGTTATTTGCACGTGTGCTGGTTTTTCCTGTGGTTATTTTCACGGGTGCTGGTTTTTCCTGTGGTTATTTTCACGGGTGCTGGTTTTCCAGCGTGGTTATTTTCATGGGGGATGATTTTTCCTGTGGTTATTTTCACGTGTGCTGGTTTTTCCTGTGGTTATTTTCACGGGTGATGATTTTTCCTGTGGTTATTTTCACGGGTGATGATTTTTCCTGTGGTTATTTTCACGGGTGCTGGTTTTGTACGATTGTCATCTGCTACACAAGATAGCAGAGTTGTGATCTACTACACAAGATAGATGGCATAGCAGTCGCACGACAATCATCTGCTATGCAAGATAGATCCCATAATTGTGATATGCTACACGATACGGCATAATTGTCAGCTGCTACACAATATTACTTAATCACCACCTACACGATAGATGGTGCAGCAGTCATCCAGTAAGTGGCGTCATTGTTGCACGTTGCTGCGTACAGGAGCTGCGGGACAGCGTTGACGTCGCGGCGGCGGAGAACGAAGCGCTGCGGCAGCAGCTGGCCACCGTCTCCAAGCGACGCAAGTTCAGCCGCGGCCACGGCGGCGCGGCGACGCGGCACGGCTCAACGCTCTCCGACTACGTGAAGCCGCACCTGCGCATGCAGGTGGCGTCCTCGTCATCAACAGGTATGTGACGCTTCATCTAGCTCACTCTGTTAGTGAGAATGGGGTTTTCACATAGTCCCTCTCACTGGTAGCAGGGTTAGTTAAAATGGGGTTACATGGTCACACTAGCTGATAGCAGTGTTAGTGAGAATGGGGTTTTCACATAGTCCCTCTCACTGGTAGCAGGGTTAGTTGAAATGGGGTTACATGGTCACACTAGCTGATCGCAGTGTTAGTGAGAATAAGGTTTTCACATGGTCACATTGGCTGATAGCAGTGTTACTGAGATGAGGTTTTCACGTAGTCACTCTCACTAGTAGCAGTGTCAGTGAGAATGAGGTTTTCACATAGTCCCTCTTACTGGTAGCAGTGTTAGTGAGAATGGGTTTTCCACACTCTATACTGTGCTATAGTAGCAGCACTGCGAGAAATTTCATGACAAGCTGTGGTATCTTTCTGCGTGCAGATGAAAACGACGAGGACCCCAGCCCTCGCCGCGTACGACCACGCAGGCGCCCCCTACACGCTAAAAGAGTTTCCGATCCCAGGAAGGAGGGTGAGGGTGAGTAGAGGATAGTCTAGTCATGTGTGCTCACAAGCTATCTCACAATCAGTGTTTGTTAAATAAACCTAGAAGGAGTCCCTAAGATTCGGAAAAATATTCCACGTGTGCAATAACAGCAATGAATGGTGCTGTTTCCAGTTGTTGGAATAAGTCTGATAGCCCAGCCAGTCCTGTTTTTGACAATTTGGATTTCTGCAGTATAACTTATAGCAAAATTCATAAGAATTAGCCAGTCCAGCTCAAAAATTACCAGACTGGTTGATGGTCACAGGTTGCAATTTGCAACAATGTTTCTGTTGGAACAACTTAGCACACGTTGTTTTCTAGCATGTGAGTTGCTCTTTAATGGTTGGCTAACTGCTTCGCCGTCAATGAGTGTAACATACAGTGTAATGGTATAAACATCTCAAATGTGACGTGTAGCTACTGCTTCCCGTCTCTACTGCTACCGCACGCATGCGATATGCATGTGAGACATATACAGTGATTCACGATGATGCACTGACATGACGATGTGTTGCAGACACCAGGGCGGCCACGGAGCACCGCCAGGAGGTGGCGCTGCTGCAGGCGAAGATCGACGAACAGGAGCGCCACCTACAGGCGCTCATGAACGACACGCGCGAGTTCGACATGCTCAGTCAACGCGACGACGAACGCGAGCAGCTGATTGGCCAGTTCGAGGCAGAGAAGCGCCACCTGGTGAGTGAGCATGCCGAGGAGATGGCGCGCAGGATTCGCCAGTCCGAGCAGGAGAAGGCACAGCTGATTGGTCAGTTGGAGGAGGAGAGACAGGAGTCGTCCATTAGGCTTGAGGCAGACCTGGATGGTGCACTGGAGATTCAGCGAATAGATATTCAGGTGAGATGCTGGTGGTCAGACAAATCTTCGTAATTATAGTTTCGCAGGCACATGCAATTAGTGCCCAACCACTCTTAATTGTTCGTTTAGTCTAATCGAAGCTCATTTTGAGGTGTCGCGTCAGTTTATCAGTACAATTATAAATGTTTTTGATGACAGAAGCAATAACTACTATGTTATTTTGTGATCTCAAGATGACCGTGGACTGAGGAAAAAACAACTATTAACTATTATACTTACTGTTTAAAAAACTACCAGACCATAAGACCAACCCAGGAATGAAATAACAGTAGTTTTACCAACTATAGAATTGCAGATTGGTAGTATTCAGCTGTCAGCTGATTAGTTAATTAATCTGCTATTGCTAATTAGCAGAGGGTAGATGCAATCCACCGTGCTTCTCGGTGCTTCTCGGTGCGTAGACGAACCGCTAGCTACCTGCCAGCGCACCGCGACAGCCATCGTAACGCTCGCGCGTTACGACGGATGAAAAATAATGCCTGCTCTGTTGTTTTTTAGGCAAGCCTCGAGCAGGCGTTCGCCGAGGAACTGGAGGCGATGCGACTCCAACACCAGGGGGAGCTGGCGCGGCTCGACGAGGCACACCGCGGCGAGTGCGACGCGGCGGCGGCGGCCGCACGCCGTGAGGTCACCACCGTCGCCGAGGCGCGCGCGCTCGAGCAGCAGCGCGAGGCCACCGCGCGCGCCGACCGCGACCACCAGGAGGCGCTGCAGCAGTCGCTCGAGCAGCAGCTGGCGCTGAAGCTCGCCGAGGAGGAAGCTGAGCTGCGCGTCGACACCCTGCAGGGGGCGCTGGCGGCGGAGCGCGCGGCGCTGCAGCGCGAGCGCGAGGAGAGAGACGAGGTGATCGCACGCATGCTCGCAGGTGGTGCCCCCGCGCTGTGTGGCAAGCTGAAGGAGGACTTTCAGGCGCTGCTGCGGGCCGAGACGGAGGCAGTGGCGGCGCGGTGGGCGGAGGAGCGGGGGAGGGAGGCGGAGGAGGAGCGAAGGAAGCTGCAGGCGAGCTGCGAGGAGGAGGCTGCCCGCATGCGTACGTATTCATCTCGCGTGTAGAATTGTACGTTCACATCACGCGCGTAGAATCAGACGTTTACATCGCACATATAGAATCATCTGTACGTTTACATCACAAAAATAAAATCATGAATTTACATCGCTTATGCAGGGTCATGTGTATGTATGCTTTGCGTGAATAGTCATGCATTTATATCTCGTGTGTAGAGTCGTACATAATGTATGCAGAAACATACGTACGTGTACATCACACGTAGAATCATTGGTACACGTGTACATGATGCACGTAGAATAATATGTAAGTTCATGCAGGGGTAGAAATTTACTTTTGAGCAAGGGAGTCCCTGCCCTCAAAAAGAAGAAGTCCGCTGCAAAATGAGGGAGTCCACAGTCTGAAATTCAAAACTAAAGATAACGATAATAACGTGTGGTTATTTTGAAGATTCATGCGGTTGCACGTCTGCCTAATTGTCTTTGGACATTAGCTGAAAAAATACGGCAATTCCGCGAGGCCGTGCTCTGGAACGAACTAGTTAGTATAGCAGAATTTTCAGGTAGTCACACGGACTCCTGCATATGTCAAATCAGGGAGTATTTGACTTCGGACTCCGCATTAATTTCGCACCGTGTTAATGTTACGCGGTTGTCGTGAAAAAGTTGTGTTTATCTTTTTACGTCTTCATGTCGGACACCAACCGTTTGTGGTAATACTGCTCGATTGTCGACGTGCCCCTCACAGTGAATGCATCGTAGCCCCAGGGGCCACTTCTCTCCAATAACAATGATGATCCACCATTGTTTGAGGGATGATGCTATTTTGCAGGAGAGGAGCTGAATGCAGAGCGGAGCAGACTTGATGAGGAGAAGGTACGCGAGGAGCAGGAGAGGGCACAGCTGCAGGAGTTACGTAAACAGCTGGATGAGGAGAGGTTGCATCAGGAGAAGGCAAGGGAGCAGTTTGAAGCAGAGAAAGTGCAGCAGGAGGAGCAGAGGAAGCAGATGGAGGCAGAATGGATGCGGCAGCAGGAGGAGGAGAAGAAGCAATGGGAGGAGGACAGGAAGCTGATGAAGGAAGAACGGAGGCAGCGGGAGGAGGAGAGAAAGTGGTGGGAGGAGGAACGTAAGCAGCAGGAGCAGGAGAAGCAGCAGCGTGAAGAGGAGAGGAAGCTGGTGGAGGAGGTGGTGCAGCGAGAGAGGGAGTGGACGCAGCGGGAGGAGGCCAGGCAGCGAGAGCTCGCAAGTCTTCGCGAGGAGTGCGAGCGGTTGCAGCTGGCAGGCAGCATCAACCAGTCGCTGGTAAGGCTTCAATCTGCTGCACGTATTGTTATCGCGGAGCCTACGTGGAGATGAGGAAGAGCTCGTCAGAGACTCCCAGCCCCACGTCAACTGTGATGCCATGACTCTAGCTATTTTCTCTGCACATATCATTTTAGCATGAGTGTCTGTTGGACATACAAACAGCGAATAAGTGTGACATAATACTACAGAATATGACTAGATACAGAATGACTAGATGACAGAATATGACTATATACTGACAGAATTGGACATAATACTACAGAAGGCATGCTGTGTTAGGTAGTTACTAACTACATTGATTAATGTCATAAGCCACATTGCAGGCTAGACTCTGTGATGCCGTTCTCTGATTCTGTGATTCTAGATTCTGTAGATACATAGATGCTAGCGACGCTGAGTTTCTAACCCTAATAGAACATAACACTGTATTAGTAGGAGGCAAGCAACACTGATCACATAACGTCTCAGGAAAATGCCTTTAAAATATTTAAATAGTAAATGTGAAAGAAAACTAATCCTTGCTACCAATAATGGCACGTCAGTCTAGTAATCTAGTAGCTAGTGATGGCTGCGTATGGGTGGTATGCGTCCATACAAGCTCACTCACATGCAGCCCATCTTGGTGAGCGAGTAGCTAGATACTCACGTAAGGGTTGATTTTCTCAGCGTTTAGAACATGTGCTTTTCTGTGATTCAGGCTGAGCAGTATGAAGAGGACGAGGTGAAACTTATCAGACAGCAACTACAGGAAGCTAACGAGAAGGTAATCGGCGTAGCTAATTTGAATGACAAATTTGAATGACAAATTTGAATGACAATTTGGCTAATTTGAATGACAAATTTGAATTGACAAATCCGTTCGACGGAGGAAAAACCTCGTTTTTTTCTTCCGTCGATAAGTTGGTCGCACCAGTCAGTCAGGGTGATGACCCGGTGTGACATCGTGACAGTGTTGACAACGGGTGCCGCCACTGACCCGTTCAAGAAGATTTGTATGATATTTTTTGACGATAATGTGTACACTGCATAATTGGCTCGTGTGTTGTTCACACACTCTCACGAGAGAGAGAGAGAGAGAGAGAGAGAAACGGTTTGTATTTACTCAAAAGTTTTCCCCATATAATATCCTCCCATCTTGCTCTGTTCCATCGTTACTAGTATCAAATGATAAGTTGCAAAATAATGTAACAGGTTTTACATCTGGGTCCGTTCCTCTAAGCTTCAGCAAATAATGGTGAATAATGAGGTTTGAATAAGGTAACTGGGTTTACGTCTTCTGAGTCTGTTCCTCTAAGCTTCAGCAAATAATGGTGAATAATTATATTTGAATAATGTTATCTTATCCCATTCCTCTAAGCTTCATCAACTAATGATAAATAATGTGGCAGAATAATGTAACTATTGTAATATCTGAGCATCCTCCTTCATTCCGCAGCTGTACAACCACATGACGTCTCATCCCAATGGCCAGCTGCAGCAGCAGTGCGCCGAGCTTCAACAAGTGAACAGCTCGATTGCTGCCGCCAGCGAACAGTGCTTTGCTGACGCGAAGAACTACATCACGAGTGAGTTCATCGTTCTTTTGCTGTGGTGCCCTTGTCGCGAGTGCGTTCATTCTTTCGCTGGGGTTGCTGCATACTGAGTGAGTGAGTTCGTCATTCTTTCCTTGGGGATTGTGTGTCACGAGTTGATCCTTCTTGCCCTGGGGTTGCCACGCGATTAGGTCATCATGCTCTCCCTGGGGTTCCTGTTTCATGCATGAGTTCATCGTTCTTTCCTTAGGACACGTGGGTCATGAGTGAGTTAGTGTTACTGTGACTTGGATTATGTGTTTTGTTATCTTCTCCTTGTTTTCATAATTCATTTGTATTGCTTGGAGCGAAGGCCGTGCCGTCATTGCTATACACGTCTTGAGAATTAGGGACGTAATATATATATATATATATATATATATATTGCAAATATGCATCCAAGTTAGATCTAATGTTACTGTTAGTGATCATGGGTCTAGGGCGCGCGCTGGTCAGTCATCATTAAGGACGCGTCCCAACTGAGAGAGTGACAATGACAATGAACAATGCAACACACGACACAACGAGAGAGCACTTTTTGGAAAAGATCCTACTTTGTTTGTTTTGCCCAGAGGTGGCTAAAATATTCCCATGAGTTCTAACCAATAACTGGGTCGGCAATCGATTTACAATGCCGTTGTTGTGATGTTCGTCCAACTGCTCATTTATAGTCAAAACCGAGATTAAACCAAGAGAGAGCTGGGATCACTTCCCAACCTGTAATATGATCTTGAACCTGTAGTTTAGTAACTGAAACTTAAAGCCGTTAAAAACCACTGGTTCGAGGTTTTTTTGGCAAAATTTAAAAACAACATTCAGCAGCAAGCCAAGTGGTTTACAAATCACCTCACAAGTTGGCGTCATTTGCAACTGTCTGTTGTTTACGACCTGTTTTGACTCCGTGTTTTTTTACATCTTGTTTACTGCTCGACGCCGTGTTTTGTTTACATCTTGTTTACTACTCAATGCCATGTTTTGTTTACATCTTGTTTACTACTCAATGCCATGTTTTGTTTACATCTTGTTTACTGCTTGACGCCGTGTTTTGTTTACATCTTGTTTACTACTCGACGCCGTGTTTTGTTTACATCTTGTTTACTGCTCGATGCCATGTTTTGTTTACATCTTGTTTACTACTCGTCTCGCTGCCCCCGCTGTGCGTCCGCAGAGCTTCAGTGTGATCACAGACAGCAGCTGCAGGAGGCTGGCGTTGATCAGCGGCGGCTGCAGGACAGCTTACAGCACACGCACGACCTACTGGACGAGTACATAGACAAGTACAAGACACAGGTGTGTATGTGCGTGCGTGTGTGTGTACGTGTGTGTAGCATGCACGTGTGTGTGTGTGCGTGTGTGCGCGTGCGTGTGTGTGTACGTGTGTGTAGCATGCACGTGTGTGTGTGCGTGCGTGTGTGTGTGTGTGTACGTGTGTGTAGCATGCACGCGTGTGTGTGTGCGTGCGTGTGTGCGCGTGCGTGTGTGTGACCTGGGGTCGCCTCGCCGCGACGTAACGCGTGTCGTGCCACTCTCGCTGCAGCTGGCGGCCTCTGGCAGGCGCGACAAGCTCGTCAAGGAGCTCTACGTGGAGAACGCGGAGCTGGTGGGAGCGCTGCAGGCAGCCGAGGCGGGGCAGAAGCAGGCGCGCGACGACGCGCGACGTCTCGACGACAAGTGCCAGCGCATGCAGCGCATGCTGGGCGACGTCTGCAACGTCGCCATACTGTGACGCCGGCGCCACCTTGTGCTGTCACCACCCGCCGCCATGTGGTGCAGTCGATCGGACGACGCGTCGTTGACATGTCTTCCTGTGTAGTGGTGACGCTGCGTGTAGTTGTGACACTGTTTGTAGTGTTGACACTGTGTGTAGTGGTGACACTGTACGAGCCGGTGTCACCATGTGTCGTGGTATCACCACGTGTAACAGTGTGTGTACCACTCACTGTATGTAGCAGTTCTATGAAGCATGTCTCATTGGCCTCCAACTTATTTAGTGGGAATTTGCTGCTAGGTTGCATTGCATGGCACATTCTGCGATGGACTATCGTGGTGAGGGACTTTTAAGCGATTTCTCGTCAGTATTGTATCTGTGGACGTTATCTATCCTCTTGTTACCACGTGATTCTGCTGCTAGTCTATAATTAATCCCCCAAAAAGTCACCTGTGAAATGTACACACATATGCCCGCCTGCTGCAGGTGTTAGTGTAGCCCCCATCCCCTTATATAATTATGGGTACACATCCCCTTATGGCAAATGTCCCCCCTTACACCATGCACATGCCCATGCGCAATGTACGTATAGGGGTACGTTTGCTATAACCGTATAAGGGGGATGTCTACAATGCTACATATGGCAGCTAGGAGAAAGCTTTTAGCATATGGAATTGAGGAATGGGTGTGTATGGGGGACTACTCGATGTAATGCGTGAGAAAGTTAGCGATAGTTTTAAGAGTTAGGCGAAGATTTAGGATTTTAGATGAATGAATGAGATGGAGAGTGAGTGAGACCAAGTCACTGAGTTTACTAGTCGCGTCGAGATGCTTTCTTTGACGTTTCCTGAGCGTTCCCCTCTCTATCTCAGCACTGATCCTATACAGGTGGCTTCCTACCTGAAGGCAATTCTATTTGGGAAGATCTCCCCGTATTTCGGAAGGGAAGTGATCACAGTAGTCGCTTAAAGAAATCATGAACAAAAGTACTTTTACGAGATGGAAATCGATTTACCGAACACAACATGTTGGTATATAACGTAAATGTGTGTTCGGGGAACTTTTCGTTGGTAAAGGTTAGGTAGTGGCCTTGAAAAGGTCGCGATCTGATCGATGGTTGATGAATGATTTATGATGTGCTTTTTATGTGTATTTATGGAGGTTGACGTCGCGGTCAGCTTTGGTAGTTTTAAGGACAGCTCTCACGTGCTGGCTGTATGTGTGCGCGCGCGCGTGCGTGCGTGCGTGCGTGCGTGCGTGCGTTAGTGCGTGCAGTCTGATCTCAATGTGTACATCTCTATAGTCAGTTGTTTTTGTTTATTTTACTCTTTATTTGCATGCTCTCGGGAAGGGAAGGCGGCAGTTGTGTATTTTATGCATTGCTTTCTCTACCCACAGACCCAGAGCATTATTTCCATATTCGTGTACCTCTTCTGATCATGTTTTAAATTTGCGTAGAGCTTGTGATTCTGTAGAAAGCATGTTTTTACAGTGCATGCCCGGCTATTGCTGTGTCAAATATTGTGCAGTGTTTACGGCCAAGTGTCCTGTTACAGGGGGGAAATAGCAAATGTAAAGATATATAAAAGCTCAAAGACAAAGTCCAAAGGGATTTGTTTCGGTCATATTTAACCGCTTATCCTCTACCAAGGGGGGTAGCCAGCTTGGGAAATATTCTTCCTTTATGTGAGGGAATTTAGGTATTATAAATAGGGCGAATTTTAAAACATCGAATATTTTTACCCCTTATATTGGGGTTGAGGGTCAATATACCGCCATAACATATCATATCTGTTGAGGGGGAAATCGCAGAATAAAAAAAAATCAATATTGCCAACGTGTACTTGCCTCAATAAGATGGGGTGAGTAACGTCTGCCCTCGAAACGGGGATCCACCCGATGCTCAAACATTCGAATTGTCGGTTTAACAGGGAGCGGACGGACGGCTGTAGCGGTACCGTCAGCAATAGTGCGGGTGCAAGTGTGCGCATCCATTCATTCCACCTGCATCGTAGAGTGGGCTGTAAATAATTATTGCGAGCGTGGTGATGTATATATATATATATATATATATATATATATATATGGTGTGTGTGTGATGATGTGTGTGCGTGTGTGTGTGTGTGTCTGTATTTGGATGGCCGGACGGACCCAACGTGAAAGGATCGGTGTAGGGACTCGTAGAGTGACGCTCTAATTGCAACTCTAAATAGGCCAGCTATACGGCTGAAAATGGTTGAACGGACGCTCCGTGCGCAGTTTGCATTATGTTGGTTTAGCCACAGAGCTGCATTGCATGTTTATATGCCAAGAAGGTTGCTGTGTGCTTTTTGAGATAATTCTACAGAGAGCCACATCAATGTATATGTCCATCGGCATGTCTATTCGTAAATAGTCCATTATCGTGCGTGTTCGTGAAACGTCAGATCTGTGCGGAGACTGCGTGTGCTCCGAGCGTCAGATCAGAGTGTCGTGGCGTGCCTGCTCGCTCGAAGTGCCGTGTCGCAAACCTGACACCAACCTACGCTCTCTAGCGTGGTCGTGCGTGCGTTGGCATTATGCCGTGGAGCTGACATACGCCATGTATTGGTAGTGCTTGTGTAGTGCGGATGACTGTGATCACGCATGAGCGTTGCCCAGTAAGTGCGACGACACAAATCCTCGTGTCCATAGTGTGATAATTTTGAGAAGACTAGTATGTTGATTGGTAGATGTCTCCACACAGCTGCAGTTTTTGAGATTTTCAGCATTGGTGGGAGAAAAAGTACATGTTTTAATAAGGTGAGAGATTTAATATTCAATATTTTTGATGTTCTTGATATGAAGTTTAGTTTTATGAAAAATTGTATGATAGATAATATAATTTCATGATATGGTTGATCATCAGTCAGTGTCCACGCACTGATGTGGTGCGTGTGTGAATCCGTTTTATTTCGAGGCAGAGGAAACCTGCGAAATTCTTCACACTGGTGTCTTATTTTACCATTTATTAGTTTTAATCGGAGCTGAGGTGCGGAGGAGGTGTTGGGGCGCTCTTCGCGTTTACTTCCCATGATGTCGCGTGACAGGTTAGCGAAAAAAAACCATGTACCCTTTATCTTATCTACGTGTGGACATTAACCGTAGAGAACTACAGGCGCGGACGTGTCTCTTTGTGCTACCCCATCGTCTGCTTTCGCTCCCCTTGATGGCTATATTGCACGATTGCGTGTGGACAGTATTTCAAGCTGTGTCGCATATGCGAGTGTGGCAGCGAAAACTTCACGCATATGTAATGACGTGATGATGATGATGATGATGATGATGATGATGATGATGATGATGATGACGATGACGAAGATGACGATGGTGATGACGATGCTACTGATATCATGTTCGACTCTGTGAAGCATTTTCCGCCGCTCTCTTTCAAAGTGTCGAGGGTGAGCAAATAGATAGATAGATGTGTCATTGCTACTCGGGGTTTGCTAGGTTACGTTTGCGTAGTAGGCCTACTGGCTCGAGGGTCGTGCGTGCGCGGCAGGTGGTTGCTTAGATCAGTGGTTCTTAACCTTTTTTGAGTCATGGACCCCTTTGAGAATCTGGTGAAAGCTACGGACCCTTGCCCAGAAAAATGCACATAAGCACATAAACAAGATCTTGCATGCGCCTGGTTCACGGACCTCCGAAGCCCATCCACGGACCTCAAAGGGGTCCATGGGCCACAGGTTAAGAACCCCTGCTTTAGATAGAGTTCAGTTCTGCTCGTGTCTTCAGCTGCTACGCGGTTCGATCCACGAGCACTCCAGTGATGGTGATGTGGGCAGTAGATATCCTTCTGTGAGCTTACGTTGCCTAGGCAAACCACATATCTGTTGGCCTTCGAATTCTACTTGTGTTGTCGTGTGCCGTGTATTGGATGGCACTGTATGGTGTAAGACCGAGAACAGAGTATATATTGTGTTATATCTATATTATAGTAACATATCATGTGTGATCGCATATAACGAATATAAGAACGTATCATTCGATCTGCATCTGTATCATCACGTAGCTTATATCGAACTGTTATCGATGATATTTGTTCGTGTATGAACTGTCGCCGCATTCTTACACATTATACAGTGGTCCCCGCTTTATCGGGACAGGTTGGGATTCGATTAAGCAGTGGTCCTGATTAAGCGGGGACACAACGTGCGCATGGATTGTTTTTCAAAGACATGTTCTTTGAAACCGAACATTATTCCCGAACATGTTCTTTGAAACCGAACATTATTCCCGAACATGTTCTTTGAAACCGAACATTATTCCCGAACATGTTCTTTGAAACCGAACATTGTTCCCGAACATGTGCTTTGAAACCGAACGGGCGAGACGCCCGTTTTTCCGAGGCCCGATAAAGCAGGGACCACTATATATAACATAATTGCCCGTTTTCAGAAAACAAGTAGTTATCGCATCATAAGGCTGCATAGGGAAGTGCTATGAAAAACTTAGGAGTGTTAGACTCATCGTAGTCATAACTATCTGCGATGTAAGCGGGCCACTGGTTTAATTTATTTGGCTAAGTCGATCAAATTAAGTTTCCTGTTTAATATCAACATTATCGCTTCAGACGGCGGGGGCATTTTATCTTCTTGTGACGCTAGTGCAGCAAAGACAATGTATTATTAATTTATTTAAAATTTTTAAGTATGAATTATATTTAATAAGCCTTTTCGCGTTTTATTGTGATCGGCATCTTATCATCCGCTGCAGACAAAAATATAGTATATAATATAATATGCACATATTTCTATGCGCGCGTGAAGCTATTGTGCATGCGCAACTAACTGGCGCACCGGTGGCGTAATACAGAGAAATGTGTGCACAAGAAAAAGCAAGTGTAAAAAATATAAATGCTAGCTATCTGCTAGTGTGCTCTGCTGTGTTGTGACAATGTGATAATGTGAATATGCGAAAATAAATATTGAAAATCATGATACCACGTGTGTGCGTAAAGCGATTTCATTGTTGTTCTCTCACGTTACTTTGCTAGCGCTAATCTTGATCTAATCCACTCCACCCCTGAAATGTACTGATAGAGTACAGCATTGTTATATAAGAAAGGGCTTGGGCTAGTAAACGATAAATTATCCTGATTTTTTGACGTGTTTTCTCCTTTGTTATTACGCGTTTGAGTGTCTACTAAGGTATAATTACTACTGGAATTTACAACTTTTCCTCTAATAGATGGCGCTGCGATGTTAAGTAGATTAGAGTAGATGCTTGACGGTTTACCGCCGCGCGGAGAACACCGCACGCGGCGGTTTTACGAGAAATTGTTGAATTTCGCATTTATTTAGCGTGTTGGCTTTGACTCCGTGTTATTTTACGTTTACGGCTATCGCCGTGCTTTGTCTTAGGTTTGGGGAGACGTGGCGGATATGCTGGGCGCGCACGTATATTATATTCTGCTGACAAACTCGTCTGTTATTCGCGCGGCCTTGCTACGACAGCGCCACCGCTGCGAGCAACCGCTCGCTCCGCCTTCGCCACGCCCACAGCGGCACGATCAACGGCGGCGGCCCCTAATGGCGTCCAATAAGCGGAGGTCACGCACGCCTCTCTATGCCGCCGCGTCTACCGCAGACGCTGCCGCCGTGCCGCCGCGGTAGCGGCAAGCCGCGTCGTAATGGCGGCTAACGCGGATCGTCTGCCATCGCTGTCACGTGAGCACATTAGGCGCGTCGCTGCCGGCAAGAGGCCAAGCCGAGACTAAAGACTATCTCTCTCTGTCTGTCTGTCTGTCTGTCTGTCTGTCTGTCTGTCTGTCTGTCTGTCTGTCTGTCTGTCTGTCTGTC